CACACACACACACACACACACACACACACACACACACACACACACACACACACACACACACACACACACACACACACACACACACACAACCAACCTAAATGTAATATTATCTATCTGTTGAACCAACACTTGACATGTTTGTGGTCACTCAGATTTGAATATATTTTATAATGTATTTTTTTGCAGGAAGAAATGCCTGAGCGTCCAACTGTTGCTACTCTTCTGAATTCCCTAGCCAATTATAATGTAACTATCCCTTCTGTATCTGACCAGGATGCTAAGATGGTGCCAAAGGTAGGTTTTCATCCATAGTTATATTTCTAGACAATTTTTATAAGCATCTATTAAGAATTACTATTTTTTAGCTGTAGGTGAATTTACTTATTGTTTCTTTTTTTTGTTCTTTTAATATATTATTTGTAATCTGTTTTTGTCTTCCCCATTTACCCTTGCATAGTGTGCATAGCCTTTCTCACTGATTTTCAAAAAGATATATTATTTGTCTGCTTACTCTTTCTTCCTCTCAGAAATTACTATTTGAATTTGTTTATCCTTCTCCCAAATAGTATATAAATCATCTGTTTTATTTTTGTTTCAATGGAACTTATTTCCATAATTTTTTTTTGCTTCCTAACAAATAATATTGTTTATCTGTTTTTTGTTTAATCAAAGACAAATTTTTATTTTGTTACACCATCATAAAACGTTTTGTTATCATGTATCCATAATGATTAATATTTTGCCCCACAAAACTTGTGGCACAGCGGTATGTCTGCGGACTTACAGTGCTAGAAACTGGGTTTTGATACCCATGGTGGACAGCCTATTATGTAGCTTTGTGCTTAATTACAAACAAACAAAACCTTCACAATGATAAATTTTTTGTGTATTTTTTCTTTATCCTAGCAAAAACTTTGTTTATAAATATAAATATTTGTGTATTTTGGCTTATTTCTGTACAGAAAGCAAACCTGGGAACATTAGCAGGTGTTTACTTTCCTTGTATTCAAAATATTTTTGGGGTAATCTTTTTCATTCGCCTGGTTTGGATCGTAGGGACTGCTGGTGTTCCACAAGCCTTCTTAGTGGTGTTTCTCTGCTGCTGTGTGGTGAGTTTACTTAACTTTTGTTTGTTACATTATCCAGTTTTTGTTTACAACTGTTTTGCACTTATTTGTATAGTACAATTTATGAAAATAGAAATTATTATAATTTATGTATTTTAGAATATTTGTTGGATAGATATCATACCCATGCAACACTAGAGTTGAGCACTTTTTGGTCAAGTGCAGTTTTGTTTTTAACAGTAATATTGAAACACAACTTTTAGTTGATAAAGAGAATAGAAAAGCCCTGAATAGAGAATTACAAAAACTTCAGTATTGTACAATATTTCTACTTTGAAAATGTTACTTCTTGCATCAGGCTGTATTCTTTTAACCAATTAGATGCCGTGGCCATTTTGTCTTATTGTGAGGGCAAAATCACACTTGTGAATTGAAAAAATGATAGAGAACTTATCCTTTATTGGATTTCAGATTTTATTTTTGTAAATAGTAGCATAACATTCAATTATTTGTACAAAATTGTATTATTTAATGTAGTTTAAAGAAGAATTCAATGAAAAAATTCCTAAAATATGTTTTAGACTGTAAGTAAGTGCCCTCTAAGAAGAAAAGTTTTTTTCAAAAATTTTTTAAGATATTTCCTTCCACTTCAGCACTGTTTCTGCCATCTATAATTGGTATCTAAACCTTTTTTTAGTCTGTTTTCTTTATAAAACTGCGTCTGGGCATGTTATACATCAGTTGTAAAAGTTTTAGCCAATCCTAGTCGAAGGTGTCAATTTCAGTACCATGTTATTCCAATCGCTGTATCTCACATTTGACAAATCAT